ATACCTTCAAAGCTAGATTGGTAGCAAAAGGTTATAGACAAATCCACGGAATTGACTATGATGAAACCTTTTCTCCAGTTGTTATGCTGAAATCCATTCGGATAATGCTTGCAATTGCAGCCTATTACGATTACGAAATTTGGCAGATGGACGTCAAGACGGCTTTCCTTAACGGGAACCTCAAAGAGGATGTTTTTATGACACAGCCTGACGGTTTTCAAATTGCTGGTCAGTATGCCAAAGTTTGTAAGCTGCAACGTTCAATCTATGGATTGAAACAAGAATCTCGGAGTTGGTACATACATTTCGATGAAACCATTTCCAGTTTTGGTTTCGAGAAGAACTCTGACGAATCTTGTGTATACAAGAAGGTCAGTGGGAGTGTAATAGTATTCCTAATCTTATATGTCGATGACATATTGTTAATGGGTAACGATATTCCCGCTCTCACTTCTGTAAAGACGTGGTTGAGCGAGAACTTCTCCATGAAAGACTTAGGGGATGCTAGGTATGTCCTTGGCATAAGAATCTACCGAGATAGATCAAGAAAGTTAATAGGTCTGAATCAAAGTACGTATATAGATAAAATCCTTGATCGATTTAGCATATCTAACTCAAAGAAAGGATTTTTACCTATGACACCTGGCACTGTTCTTTCCAAGAGCCAGAGTCCTTCTACTCCCGAGGAGAAGGAACTCATGATGAAGGTTCCATACGCCTCTGCGATTGGATCCATCATGTGCTCCATGATATGTACTAGACCTGATGTCTCATTCGCTTTGAGCATGACCAGCAGATACCAGGGAAGTCCAGGAGAAGCACACTAGACAGCGGTCAAGAACATCCTCAAGTATCTTCGCAATACTAAGGATGCATTCTTGGTATACGGTGGTGAGGAAGAGCTAAAGGTGGTCGGTTACACTGATGCTAGCTTCCAAACCGACAGAGACGATTCAAAATCACAAGCAGGATATTTATTTTGCCTGAATGGCGGAGTTTTTAGCTGAAAGAGCTTCAAGGAGGATACAACTGTCGATTCGACTACAGAGGCTAAGTACATAGCTGCCGCCGAGGCAGCTAAAGAAGCTGTTTGGATTAAGAAGTTCATTACTGAACTTGGAGTGGTTTCTAGTATTAATGACCCTATGTCGTTGTTTTGCGACAACACTGGGGCCATTGCACAGGCAAAGGAACCGCGATCTCACTAGAAAACCAAAAACATTGTACGACGCTATCACATCATACGAGAAATCGTAGATAGAGGAGATGTGATGATTTGCAAAGTAGATACTGACGACAACATAGCCGATCCCTTGACTAAGCCTTTTGGAAAGCTAAAGCATGAGGGTCACACTAGGTCCATGGGCATTCGACCGATGCCAGATTGGCCATAGTGCAGGTGGGAGATTGTTGGAGTTGTGCCCTGATGGCCAACTGTTTATCATTATTCTATCATGTATAGGCAGATATAATATATTTACACATCTCATGCTAATGTAAACAAATATTATATTCCTAGATTTATATTTAAAAGATGTTTATCAGATAGTGTTTTTTCTGCTGATGAGACTAACATCTTGAAATAAATATTTATCTGAATGTCCATAGTCGAGTATTAACGAGAGTGTGATATCGTTAATGCATGTGAGACTAGTGTGTGTTGGATGTTTGACTTAGTCTCATAGTCAATGACAGTGTGTTCGCATCCGCACACGGGCAAATATTATCTGGAGATAATAGGATGCCGGACTGACCCATCCTAAAGATGTTGCTTGAACTTTTAGTTCATGCTCTAAGCATCTTTAGCGCGACCACGGGTGTAACTATCCTTCGACTTGAAGTATTA